GTTTAGGGATTTGGTTTAAAGTTGCTTGGCCCTCAGACGGTTCTGCTAGGCCACAACCCTGCTGCCTGTAGAGGAGCGAATCTAGGTCAGAGCTTGCCTGTTCTATCACCCTCCTCTGTGTCTCCCAACTTGGCTGCAACTAGTGCAGCATGGCAATAAGGAGGGAGGAAGCAGAGCCAGTGTGCATTGGGTTGGTCTCCCAGCCTGAAGACATGTATTCATTTTTTGACCTTAAAAAAATTGTTTATCCTCTCTCAACCACAGTTTTCTCCATTGTCAAATGTGATATAATACTGGGCCGTGCTCTTAGGGTTATTGTGAGAACCTGGGGGAAAATAGAGCCTCAGCCAATGCCTTGGTTCATATTAAGTGCTCAGGAAATAATGACTACTCTTACAGATTATTTTTTATTGGGCTTTTACTACATTACTATATTGCACATACATCCCAGGTACATGTAAGTGCTTTTATATGTTCCTTCCATTAAGGACTGTAACACACTTGCCGAAACCGGTTTGGCTCAGTGGTAGAGCGTCAGTCTGTGGACTGAAAGGTCCCAGGTTCGATTCCGGTCAGGGACATGTACGTTGGTTGCGGGCACATCCCAGTAGGGGGTGTGCAAGAGGCAGCTGGTCAATGTTTCTCTCTCATTGACGTTTCTAGCTCTCTGTCTCTCTCCCTTCCTCTCTGTAAAATATCAATAAAATATATTTTTTAAAAAAAAGGACTGTAACACACTTTTGAGATCGATGTTATATCCAATTTTTATCTATTAAAATTAAATTTATGCACATACATGACCTACAGTACCTGTTTTATGAGAAACATACAATAAGTGATAGCTACTATTATTTCAGATAAGGAAATGGCCTCTGAGGACAGGTAAGTTTTACAAGCCCACACAGCCAGTATGTGGAGGGGCTGAGATTCATACCCACGTCTATTGGTCTCAGAGGCGTAAGTTCTTATTTCTACCTGTGCACACTCTGTTAAGGAATTAAGAGCCTGAAAAGGCAGAGCATTTTAAGGAGGATGTTTACGTGTAAAACTTAGAGTAGTGAAAGAAATCCATTTACTTTGACCATGACTGATATTTTCTTTCCGTGGGCCTGAAGTGAGGTAGGAGAAAGCAGCTTAGGCATTGATTTTACTGGCAGTGTTCGGGGAAAGGTTGAGTGTGAGTGGCAATGTGAGTAATAGAGTTCAGGAAGACTGCCGAAACTGGTTTGGCTCAGCGGTAGAGCGTCAGTCTGCGGACTGAAAGGTCCCAGGTTCGATTCCGGTCAAGGGCATGTACATTGGTTGCGGGCACATCCCCGGTAGGGAGTGTGCAAGAGGCAGCTGGTGGATGTTTCTCTCTCATGGACGTTTCTAGCTCTCTATCTCTCTCCCTTCCTCTCCGTAAAAAAATCAATAAAATATTTTTTTAAAAAGTCCTAATTTAAAAAAGAAAAAAGAAGAAGAAGAATAGAGTTCAGGAAGACTATAAGCCCCTCTGTAATGCCTCAGCCCATAGAGATCTCCCTCCTCTGAACTCTGGCAGTCCTTGTCTTCATACGGATTTGTGTCGACTATTCTGTTTTGTGAATTGTTCATAGTCTTTAGCTCCTGCTTCGTTATCTAGGGTAAAGAAGATATCTCATTCTTCTTAGTTTGCTAACTCTTACTATAATACCTAACCCATAGTAGGTGCTTTGCCTTTACACTTGGTTGTGTGCCAGAACTTCTAATGCACATGGGCTGTTACTAGTGATCTTGGGTTGCCTTTTTCCAGATCTGTCTCAGAAGTTCCAGTTCTGGATTGATTCATTGATCTAGAAGAGATTAATTCTGATTGGCTCTTGGTTCCAGATGCCTCTTGTAAGTTTAGCTGGTTGGTCATGGCATATGGTTTCTGGCCAGGGACTCATTCAGGCAAGGTATTAAAATTTACACACTGGAGTCTGTCTTTCCCTACTGTATGGCACCTTCAGTGTCTGGAATGAGTGTACCTTACTGATGCTATAAATTGATATAAAAAAAAGTTTGGATTTCACTTAAATGACTAGAAAAGATAATATTAACAATTCTTTTTTTTTTTTTGCCTATAAAAACTATAAGTGTATGAAGAATTTTATATTTAGAGTAGAAGAAATTGGAAGATACTTGCAACTTAAGATTCAGAATATGCTTCCATTGATATAATATAGTGGTAAAAAATGTGCTCACTCTGGGCCCAGCCAGTATGGCTTAGTGGTTGAGCATTGACCTATGAACCAGGGGTGTCATGGTTCAATTTCCAGTCCAGGCACATGCCTGAGTTGCAGGCTTGAGTCCCAATAGGGGACAGGGGATGCTAGGAGGCAGCCGATCAATGCTTCTCTCTCATTGATGTTTCTCTCTTTTTCTTCCTTCCTCTCTGACATCAATAAAAATATACATTTTTTTAAAAAAATTTGCTCATTCTTCCTTCTAGGGCAATTATGACCCATGCATCAGTGCCTAAGGGCCACAGAGATGCCCTTGGAATTAGCGATACGCTGATTCGACTCTCTGTGGGCTTAGAGGATAAAGAAGACCTAATGGGAGATTTAGATCAAGCTTTGAAGGAAGCGGTAAGTTTTATTACTTTAGTGTTTGTGGGTGTGTGTGTGCGTGAAAGTGGTGCTTAATCTTGGGGCTGGAGCTCCTATTTATAAAGAGAGGCCTTGCTATGAATGCTTAAAGGTTTTTCTATTCTCTTCCTACAATAAACAGGGTGTATAAATGTGCATGGAATGTAGTCAAAGTGCAGATTTAAAAGATGGTAGTATTCAGGAAAGAGTCCTTAGGGGAGGGGAAGTCATTGCCAGCATATTTAATAACCTGTTTTTCTTGTGCACTGTTTTTACAGCACCGTCCAAATGCATGTTGAACCTAGCATACCAGAACTGCTATTAGAAGTTGCTTCCTGAGAGATCAAATATTCTGAATGATCAAATGGACCATTAATGAATTTTTATAGATTTTCAAGTGAAAATTTTAAGGCACCTCATTACCTTTCACACAACTGTAATCTTGCAGGGATCATCCCTGTTTTCCACAGTTTCCTCTTTCCCTTATTGTCATTGACAGGTCAATTCTGTTAATATCTTTTTGTTAATTTTTGGCATACATTTGCCTTTGAAGGAAGTGAAATTTGTGTTGCTTTTTGGGATTATTCTCTTCTTTTCATAGCATAAGGATTATATTGATCATGTTTACAACATAGTGATAATTCACTTTTGATGTTTTCTGAAGAACTTAAATTATTACATGAATGTTTCTAAATCAAGTGTGATTTTTCATATCATTGAAAATAGCACTTAAAACAATGGTTTACACTTAATTACCATAAGCCAAAAATCACTTGCCTGTAAAGTCTACTGTGAAATTCTACTGATTTATGATGGTGTTTACTATATTTAAAAAAATAAATCTAATTATCAAATCCATTCCATTGTGATGTTTCTATATTATGTGAAATTAACTTGGATTCCTGAGCCCTATTATTCTTATCTCTTATGTTAATTTTTACCAATTCAATTATAAAACTATCATACCCAAATCTTAGTGTTTGCAGATTAGTTACAAATTCTGTACATAGAAGGTCAAAAGCCACTTTTATAGACAGAAATAAAATACCTTTTTAGATTTTTATCTGAAACATTAGGTTTGTGAGGCTAAAGGAAGAAATGTGTAAAACAATCTTTTATAGTTGAAATGCATAACAAGTTATTGTCAACAAGTCATAAGTCAAATAGATTTTTAAAATTATTTTGATGCCAAAAGCTTTCAGTCATTTATTTGCTAACACCATTTGTTTCAGTGTTTTAAAAAAAAAGCGTACAGTATTGAACTTGATTAATAATAGTGCTGCATAGGAGGGGAATTCATACTAACACACATTCTTACGTATTGCCCACATTCTGTACAGTCTGGAAATTCTGTCTGTAGGCAGCAGCATTTGAGGCAGCTCATAACTCTCGATGGTTTCTAGCAGGCCTGATTTCTTGCCTTCTCAGGACCACAGGGCTCCGGAAATAAACAAAGACTCAGCCAAATAAGAAAAGCAAAGACTATTCTGAGTTTGCAAGGGAATCAGCTACTGTCACTTGTGTTTTGTCAGAGACTCAAAGGCAAGCAGAACATGAGGAATTGTAGAAATTTTTAATATTGATACGGATGGATGAGAAACTAAAGCTTCCATATTTAAAATTGTCAGATAGATAACATTAACTCACTGTTAGAAATAAAAAATAAATAAACAAATAAAAGACTAAAAGCACCAAAGCAGACAGGAGTGGAAAAGCTTTAGTGTCCAAAAGGAAAGGTTTCAGATATGCCCTGATCCGGAGTTGTGCTGGCGTTTGGGAAGCTGTTGGTGAGCTACTTTGAAGTGGAACATCCTTACATCCTGATCGTATGTATTTTATTTCTGTCTATAAAAGTGGCTTTTGACCTTCTATGTACAGAATTTGTAACTAAGCTGCAAACACTAAGATTTGGTATGTATCTAACATCCTGATCGGTTAGAGCCATGGTCGGCAAACTGCGGCTTGCGGGCCACATGTGGCTCTTTGGCCCCTTGCGTGTGGCTCTTCCACAAAATACCACGGCCTGGGCGAGTCTATTTTGAAGAAGTGGCGTTAGAAGAAGTTTAAGTTTAAAAAATTTGGCTCTCAAAAGAAATGTCAATCGTTGTACTATTGATAACTGGCTCTCTTGACTAATAAGTTTACCGAACGCTGGGTTAGAGGTACACATTTGGCTTTCTTGAGTTTTTCCTTATTCAAAAGCAGGGGCAAAAATTAGGGAAGTTGTCAATTATTAATCAAGTCCTGGCCATATGGGGCTGATTGTTATAGGAGGGATTGTTTAGCTTCCTGGATTGTCACTAGAAATAGAAATAGATTTTTAGCAAGGCTTGTTTGTAGATGTGTTTCCGGGAAACCCCTGGTTGGGCTTGGGCTGCCTGTCACTGTCCAATAATGAAGGCAGGGTTGAATCATATAAGGCGTTTATTGAGAAGGCCAACCAACTAAGAAGACAGGTTGCTTACACGCATTCAAATCCTGTCTTACATCAAGGCGCAGGGGACAGGATTACAAAGGGGAAGGGTCTAGGGTGATGCTGGGAACGGAATGCAGCTACATGCAGTCCTGGAGGTCCCCAGACATCAGCTCTTGTCCTTAATCATCAGGCGATGAGATGATATTTTGACTGACTCCTGGTGGGTTGGTCTAACCATGCTTATTGGTTCTGCTTGCTGGATTCACAGCTGAGTCACCTCCCTAATGTCTTCACACAGCCCTTCTAAAAGAAACTTAAAAACTTAACCTTCTATTCACATACATATATGTATTCTAAAATTTAAAATAATATGATTACTTTTCAGATTAATTCAGATTCTCTATCTTATCAGTTTATAAGTCCCCTATCAGATGTGGGAGTTAGTTTTCCAGGGAAGGTGCAGTAATTGTGCGTTAAAGTTCTGTACAAATGGTCTATCCATTGTCTATCTGTATATTTAGTCTCATAAGTAACTAGCTACCATCCTATTAGGGTTCTCCAGAGAAACAAAACCAATAGGGTGTGTGTGTGTGTGTGTGTGTGTGTGTGTGTGTATACATATACATATATGCATATGGAGAGAGATTGATTTTAAGGAATTGGCTCATGACTGTAGGGGTTGGTAAGTGAAGTTTATCGGAGTGGGGGGAGAGGTTGGAGACTGGAAATTCACATAAGAGTTTTGCAATCTGAAGGCAGAATTGTTTTTTCTTTGGGAAACCTTAGGCTTTGCTCTTAAAGTCTTCAATTGATTAGATGAGGCCAACCCACAATCTACAGCTTGATCTCCTTTACTGATTTAAATGTTAATCACATCTAAAACATGCCTTCACAGCAACATCTAGATTGACATTTGACCAAATAGCTGGGGTACCATAACCTACCAGTGGTCGACAAACTGCAGCTTTCGAGCCACGGTTTGCCACTCTGTTGGCTAATGAGTTTGCCAATCACTGACCTTGACTATCCATTCCAATAATTACAGGCTGTTGTTATTCCTTATGATTAGCCCCTATTCCAGTGGTCGGGAAACTCAGTCAACAGAGCTGCAAACCTCAGCTCTTGAGCTGCATGTGGCTTGCGAGCTGCAGTTTGCTGACCACTGACCTAGCCAAGCTGACACATAAAATTAACCATCCTGTTATAGGCGTTGTTCCTTACTGCCTGAGAAGGCACCATTGTGTTTATTAGGATTTATGAAGTTTATCTGTAGTTTTTGGTTATGTTCAGGCAATATCTCTCTCCATTAGAATAGTTTACACCAGGATGATGATTCAGTGATTAAACACTGTACCACTCACCCCTGCCTATTTTTTTAAAACATCTGCCTTTGTAGAGGGGAATATAACTGGACAGCCATGCTCTGGTCACATTAAATGAGGTCAGGCTTCCAGGATACTGCTTTTACTGAGTTGCTTTATATAACACACTAGTGACCCGGTACACAGATTTGTGCACATTGAAAGGAAATTAATTAGAAGAAAGATTCATGTGTTAATTACTGCAAAAAAAATTACATCAAAATATATATAATGTAGTATCATTAAATTAAAATACAAAATATTTTAATATTGCTATTCACTCTTTGTAATGGAAGTGTCAGATGAAAGGAAATTAGTAAAAGGTATATGAAATACATAAATTGATTAATAAACAATAACAAGATGACATAAAAACAACAAAGAAATGATATAAAAAAAACAAAAACATGATATAAAAACATTGCTAAAAACAATGATTGATAAATTGATGAATAAATAACAACATGATATAACAACAAAGACATGGTATAAAAACAACAAAAAATATGATATAAAAACAACATTGATAAAAAATAGTGACTGACCCTAATCGGTTTGGCTCAGTGGATAGAGCATCAGCCTATGGACTGAAGAGTCCCAGATTTGATTCCAATTAAGGGCATGTACCTTGGTTTTGGGCACACCCCCAGTAAGGGGTATGCAGGAGGCAGTTGATCAACGTTTCTCTCTCATCAATGTTTCTATCTCTCTATCCCTGTCCCTCCCTCTCTGTAAAAAAAAAAAATCAATAAAATATATTGAGGAAAAAAAACAAAACAATGATTGATAAATAAATGTTTATTTTTAAACTAGAGCCCAGGTGCACAACATTCGTGTATTGGGGAGAAGGAGAGGAGTCCCTCAGCCTAGCCTGTGCCCTTTCACAGTCTGGGAACCCTTGAGGGATGTCCAACTGACAGCTTAGGCCACAGTCAGACCCTTAGTGCTGCTGCTGCAGAGGCGGGCTACTGTGCTCACCAGCCGTTAGCCTGACTTGTGGCTGAGCAGCACTCCCCCTGTGGGAGTGCACTGACCACCAGGGGGAAGCTCCTGCATTGAGTGTCTGCTCCCTGGTGGTCAGGGTACATCATAGTGACTGGTCGTTCTGCTGTTCGGTTGATTTGCGTATTACCCTTTTATATATAGGAAGGATTACCAGTGCGCATCATATGTACCGGCCAGCCAGTTGGATGTACAGTCAGTCACCTAGCCTTTTACTAGTATATATATATATATATTATTAAAAATTCCATTCTACCCTTGTGCTTACTACATTCATTGTTGAAATTCTGAGTGAAATTAACCTCACAACAAAGTCAGTGTGTACTATTTTAAAAAATATATATTTTATTGATCATTTTACAGAGAGGAAGGGAGGGGGACAGAGAGCTAGAAACATTGATGAAAGAGAATCATCGATTAGCTGCCTCTTGCACACCCCTACTAGGGATGTGTCCACAACCAAGGTACATGCCCTTGACCAGAATCGAACCTAGGACCCTTCAGTCCGTAGACCAATACTCTATCCACTGAGCCAAACTGGTTTTGACAAGTGTGTACTATTTTAAGTAGATACACTGCATCATGTTTATTTTATAACTAGTAGCCCTGCACATGAATCCGTGCACCAGTAGCTCTCTGAGGGACCTGGCAGCTCTGCGCCCACTGCCCAGAGGCCCATCTGTGGCCGGGTGTGGAATGCTTGCCTTGTTGCTGGGGCAACGGCACAAGCGTTCTGCACCCTGGCCTGGCCAGAGGCCCATCAGTGGCCTGGATTGAACACTTGCCTCGTCATCGTGTCAACGAGGGAAGCATTTTGCCAGGCCCGCTCTTAAGGGCCATCCCCCTGGAACTGAGGGACTCCAGTGGGGCTTAGAGGACTGGTCCCCACCATCTTGTGGCTATGGGTGCTGCCATCTTTGTGATGGAGTGATGGTTAATTTGCATATTACCCTTGTATTAGATAGGATGCTAGGTGACATTTAAGAGAAAACCTTATTATGGAGCCAATAAAGTATAATAAGCTTGTTTTGCTGGTGACTCAATTTACTCATGTATTTGTACCTGAGAGCTTATTCATGTTTTCTAGTTTTGGGGTATATTACCCAGGAGTGGGATTGTTGAATCATATGGTAGCTCTATTCTTAATTTTTTTTTGAGGAATAACCACACTGTTTTCTATAGTGGCTATACCAGTCTACATTTCTACCAGCAGTGAATGAGGGGTAAAGTGCCTTTAAAAAAAAAGGTTTTTATTGATTGCAGAGAGGAATGGAGAGAGAGATAGAAAGATCAATGATGAGAGAGAATCATTTATTGTCTGCCTCCTGCTCTCCCACTACTGGGGATTGAGCCCACAACCCTGGCATGTGCCCTTGACCAGAATCAAACTTGGGACCCTTCAGTCTGCAGACCGATGCTCTATCCACTGAACGAAACCATCTAGGGCTGCAAAGTGCCTTTTACTATGTAAGGTCACATGATCATGGGCCTGAAGATTAGTGAGAGGGTTAATTTAAATGCAGGCAGATAGGGCAGGGGTTCAGGGGAAAACATAGGCAGGGGCAGACACAGCAGTTTGAGCAGCCTCACCACAGGAACCAACCAAGCACAAATTATAAAATGTTTCTGGACTCAAAGCAGGAGGCATGGGAAAACAGGGGAGGGCCTGCAGTCACAAGCTGTAGGAACACATAGAAACAGAGGAAGTTCAGGTTTGTTGCTGGGCAAGAACAACTGAGGGAATCAATCAGGCAGCCCCCTCCTCCTGAAGGGAGTCTGATTCTGCTTATAATACATCTTCCACTCTTCACTTAAATCTTCTGGTTCGAGGAGCTCATTCTTTGGTGTCCAGAGACACGACCTGGGGGGAAAAATCCTCGGCTCACTGTTCTGGTTATCATCAGGACAGGAACATCTTTGGGGGGATAGGAGGAAGGCCTTAGTCTGCCTACCACAACCTTCCAATTTTATAGTTCTCTTATTTCATAGAAATTTATAATGAACAAGAACAAGACAGGAAATTTGGAGAGGCAGCACTTTGGTTTCCCGTATTTAGACACGATTTTAAAAATAGCCAGTCTGAAACAATAAGCTTGATATTTTAAACCTGGATGCCAGAAGCCAGATTTCTTAAATTCATGGAAGAAACATCACAGAGTAGATTTACACAAACCTAGGTGGTGCAGTCTACTACACATCTAGGCTATATGGGGCCTATTGCTTCTAGACCAGCGTTTTTCAACCGCTGTTCCGCGGCACAGATGTTGCCTGGTGTGCTATAGGTGCAGACAAGACAAGAATTTTATAATTTTTCACTATTTTGTTTACTTAATATTTCATAATAAAGTAATTATAAAATACTTTCTTTGTGTTTATTTGATTCCTATTCAAGAGAATTACTTTATATATAGTCAATATAGGCACAGAGTTAAATTTTTTAACATTTTCTAATGGTGGTGTGCCTCGTGATTTTTTTCATGAAACAAGTATGCCTTTGCCCAAAAAAGGTTGAAAAACACTGTTCTAGACTACACTCTGGATAGCATGTCACTATACAAAACAACTCGAGATGAACTCAAGCACAAGAGAGAATGATGCAATTAGGAGATATTGGAAACACAGGATGTATGAGGTTGCTGCCGCTATAACATGGTATGCTGCTTTACTGCAAACTTGTTTTTTAAAATATATTTTATTGATTTTTTACAGAGATGAAGAGAGAGGGATAGAGAGGTAGAAACATCGATGAGCGAGAATCATTGATCAGCTGCCTCTTGCACACCCCCTACTGGGGATGTGCCCGCAACCAATGTACATGCCCTTGACCAGAATCGAACCTGGGACCTTTCAGTCCGCAGACTGACGCTCTATCCACTTAGCCAAACCAGTTTCGGCTACAGCTAACTTTTTTTTTTTTATGTAAGTGGGAAGAGTATACTCTAAAATAATGATAGAAGGTATATTATAGTAAATACATATTAGTAATATAATCATTTAATATAAAGTGTTATGTACTGAACATAATTGTATGTCCTACACTTTTATACAACTGACAGCGCAGTGGATTTGCTTACACCAGCATCACCACAAACACATGAGTAATGCGTTGTGTTATGACATTACAGCATCACTAATTTTTCAGGTCATTATAATTTTATGGGACCACCGTTGTACATGTGCCATCATTATGTTCTATAGTTCATCATTGATGAACTACAATTATTTTAACTTATAACATTGTGAAGTATTCTTCATATTAGTTGTCACATATTACCTCTGGAATACATCATTTAAAAAAATTTTTTTTTTGGATATAAAATAGGGTTATGAGTATGGACTTTGGAGCCGTTTGGCTTGAATTTGATCCTGGTTTTACTTCACTGTGTAACTAGGCAAATGACTTAATCTCTTCTCTGTTAATAACTAACTCTCTTTTCTCTAAAATAGGCATAATAATGGCACCTACTTCCCGAGATTATTAGAACTGATAGAATACTTATAAGTGCTTAGCACAATGTCTGACATACACTAAACACTCCCTACACAGTGACAGTTAGTACTAGAATTATATTGTTGCTTTAAAAATTTGACAGAACTCCTTATTGAAAGATTACATGTTCTTTTGTTTTGTTTTGTTTTGTTTTGTTTTTGTTGAGCACATGGTTTTGAAAAGGGACTTGAAAGTGATCACATTGCTAATTGCAGTGGCTCCAAGAGCAGAGTCCATTTCCTGCCTTTATCTTGATCTCTAGTCTTGTTTCTGAGTCTCCACAAAGGGTGTGTAAACAGCAACATTGGTGTCTTTTTCTTCTTCGAGTTTTAGGAAAAATCTCTAGGAGAAAAGTATATATTTTGTCTCTTCATGCCCCAAATCAGTTATAACTAAATTTGACTACATTTTTGATATTGCCAAAAGTTCTTCAAAATCCCTTTCTTTTTTAATTTTTCACTTT